TAAACATTTCTGGTAACTGTGGTGGGAGTGGTGGTTCACAGGACATGGACCTGTGGCAGAGCTCTACCTAACTAGCTGATAAACACAGCACCATCACTTATCAGGACTGTGGCTGGGGTGGGGTGGGGGGGCTATCTGGACAGTGTTCACTGACTTACTTCTCAAACTCACTGATTTCGCTGGCCTTGCTCATTTTGGCCTCTGCCCCCTGCAGTAACCCAGGTTAAGGCGTGAAGGCGCCAGGTGGCTGCGTCACTCACTTGGGCGGCCTGTGCTGGAAGCTCCACCCTCACCCACTTCACATGCATATGTCTTATTATGTCATCTGCATGTTGCTTTTTCTTGTGATGAGGTTTTTGGCAACCTCACACTGTGTCCCATCAAGGAAACAGTGTGAGGTGATATTTTTTACCTCCTTTTTCCTCGTGTTTTCCCTTTACCTTATCTAATGACAAGGGTAGCGCCTCCCATGTGGTTGCAGCCTTAGACACTCTCGTCCATGTTGTTTTCTTTGGACGGGCTGTACTCAAATGTAATTTTGTTCTGCTTCTGTGACAATAAAGGCATTCTGATTCTGATTTTGTTTTCAGGTTCTCAACCCTCTCCTGTACCAATCTCGGGTTTCTCAGTCTATTCATGCTCGTCTGGCCAGCTGCCGTATTTTAGGAAAAGTTGCCCCCAAGTTTGAGTCCCACATGTGAGCTGAGCGTGAAATACAAGCATAATCTCACTGTGACTGCAGCAGTATGACTGAGCAGGAATGTTCAGATGTGTTTCTGTCCATCAGAGTGAAAAAGGAGCTATTGCCACTGGCCCGGTCTTTGTGTCAAGATGTGGAACCAGAGGTTCAAGTCTGTATCTGCCAGCAGTTTGAGAGCATTGCTCAGGCCATTGGGTAAACCAAAAACTAACCCTGCATGCTTTAGTGTGATGTCCTGCTGTGTTGACACCGCAGGTTGAATTTGTCCTTCAGGGTCGATGATACCAGAACTGAGCTTCTTCCTGAGCTGGTGGAGCTAGCTGGAGATGAGGAGAGTAGTGTTCGACTGGCTGCCTTCGACAGCATCGTCAGCCTCATGGAGATGATGGACAGCGGTGAGTCTGAACTGCATCAAACTTCAGTCTCAGTTAGCACTGATAGCAAAACCCTTCCTCTTTTTCAGATGACCGCCTCCATGTCCTGGTGCCCATGGTGACATCAGTATGCGATGCTTCGTCACAGGTGGACAAAGTCATCACAGCATCCTTGTCTTTCCGGTTTGGGACACTCTGCAATGGGCTGTCAGGTGAGAACCAGCATCCTATAGTACCAACCAAACTCCAGGTCCAGGTTGCATCAAATCCAAGCAGGTCTGGTTCTGCTTTAGACAGGGTCAGAAACTTTGCATGTCTTTCTGAGAGTTGGAGGCTTTGCTGTTGAGTTCAACCAGGTATGAAAAGTGTCTTTAGGGTCACCACGTCTGGGTAGTTTGAGAACTTCACAGTTCTTTTTTTTATTATTTATCAAAATATTATACAACGGTGATGACAATATAAAACATCGTACAAATGCAAGAACAGAGAAAAAAATTAAGTAAATAAAATAAATAAACAAATAAAAATCAAGAAAAAGATAGAGTGGGGGTCTAAATTAAATAAGAATAGTTTACAATCTTTATAACTTTGTAACATGGTAAGTAAATTACACAATTCTACACACTAAGGAGGTAAAGACTTGAGGTACTCCACAAAGGTTGTCCACTTGTGAGTACATTTTTCTAAACTACACTTCATTGTTAGTAAAATCTTCTCCACCCTCAAAAACATCCTGACAGTGTTAAGCCATAGTAATGTAGATGGAGATGTGGGAGATTTCCAGAAGAGTAAAATGCAGCATCTCGCAAGAAGGAAAAGAAAGCTAAAATCTCATTTTGCAGGGGAGACGGTACTGGAACTCCAAAGATGGCCGTTAGTGGGTCACTTTGGATCTGGGTTCTAAAAACCCCTGAAAGTCCAGAAAAGAAATCACTCCAGAATTTATGCAAACATGGACAGAAGAAAAACATGACTCAAGTTGAAGGTGAAGTCTGACATCTGTCACACTGGTCTAAAGCTGAGGGAAAGATTTTAGATAAACTGGATTTTGAAAAGTGGACTCTGTTTATTACTTTAAACTGTATGAACTGTAATTTAGCACAGGTGTATTTGAACGTGTACTGAGAATCACCCCATCCCACCATGATTCAGACAGTTCAGTGCCTAATCCATGCTCCAGATGAGTCAGACTCAGTTGTCATCACTGTTCCATATATATTAGGAAGGGGTGATTTCTTATTAGGCCTAAGAATCAGAAGGTCGACCCACGCTGGGTCAGCAGGGAAAGTCAGAAAATTTGGAAGCAATGCTGAAATACAGTGTCTAATTTGGAAATGGAGAAACAAGTGAGAAGGAGGCAGGTTAAATTTTGAAGACAATTCTGAAAAACTAAGAAAAACACGATCTTTGTTAACGGCATTAGTAGGAGCAGGGGGAAACAGGTCATTTTTTTAACAACAGCATTCTGTTAGAGGGAGACACAAATTTGAAATGAGACCTGAACTGAGACCAAATCTTAATTTTAGAGAACACTATGGGATTTAAAGTAACAGAAGATAATTTAATAGGAAGTGATGAATAGATAATAGAGGCAGGTGAAAAAAGATGAAGAAATTTATGAATTTCAAGATTACACCAGATCAAATTAGGTGAATTTAGCCAATGAGTCAGTTTGTGAATATGTGAAGACCAGTAATAGATTAAAAAATTGGGTAGAGAAAGACCACATTTAGAGGTAAACTGTTGCAACAGAGAGAGTCCGAGTCTGGGGGCCCTTCCACTCCACAAGAAGAGTCAGAGAAATTTATTTGTCATTCTCATCACACGTGGTACATGAGGTGGGACAAAACTATGTACACAGGGTCCCAGTTACATCCATCCATCCATCCATCCATTATCTTTACCCGCTTATTCCATTTTGGGTCACGGGGGTCGCTGGTGCCCATGTCCAGCAATCACTGTGCGAGGGGCGGGGACACCCTGGACAGGTCTCCAGTCCATCACAGGGACACATAGAGACAAACGAGACAAACAACCATTCACTCTCTCTCTCACACCTAGGGACAATTTAAAGTTACCATCAGCCTAACATGCATGTTTTTGGTCTGTGGGAGGAAACCGGAGCACCCGGAGAAAACCCACGCATGCACGGAGAGAACATGCAAACTCCACCCAGAAAGGCCCCTGGACCGGGGTTTGAACCAGGGACCTGCTCGCTGAGAGGCAGCAGCTCTACCAGCTGCACCACCGTGCTGCCCCAGTTACATCCAACAAAATACAAATTGTAAAGAAAAACAATAGTAGTATCCGAGTCATGAACTAAGAATATACTACATTCACTAAACTAAGAATACACTAAGCACTAATAGTACAAAAACAATGCGTCAAAACAACAGCAGCACGAACATGAGTCTGTATGAGCAGATGGGGACCAATGAACACAGCAACATGAAATAATCAGCAGCACATATCAACAATCAAGTGTCATCACAGATGATCAGGGTAGAGGCTGTTCCTCAGTCTAGTGGTTCTACACTTAATGTTCCTTAACCTCCTTCCTGAGGGGAGTGGGACAAAAAGTGTGTGTGCTGGGTGAGTGGGGTCCTTCATGATGCAGGTGGCCCTCTTCCTGCATCTGGAGGTGTAGATGTCTGTGATGGTGGGGAGACTGACTCCAACATCTTCTGTGCAGCCTTCACCACTCTCTGCAAAGCTTTTCTTTCTGCAGCTGTGCAGCCTCCATGCCACACATTGATGCTGGAGCACAGGATGCTCTCCACTGCACACCTGTAGAAGGAGGTGAGGACTGAGCTTCCCAGACCAGCTCGTCTCAGCCGTCTGAGGAAGTAGAGTCTCTGATGATCTTTCTTCATCAGGCTGGTGGTGTTGTTGCTCCAGCTGAGGTTGTTGTTCAGGTGCACACCCAAGTACTTGTAGCTGGAGACCACTTCCACCACAGATCCTCCTATGTTTGGGAGGGTGGGGGAACGGGCGGGGGGGGGGGGGGGGGCTGTTCCTTCTGAAGTCCACGAGCATCTCCTTTGTCTTTTTCACATCGATATGAAGGTTGTTCTTCCTAAACCAGCTCTCCATGTAGTCCACCTCATGCCTGTAGCTGGACTCATCATTGTTTGTGATGCATCCCACCACCGCTGTATCATCTGCAAACTTTACAATTCAATTCAGTTTATTTATATAGCGCCAAATCACAACAAAGTTGTCTCAGGGCACTTTACAGAAACATTCACATACATAAAAGCCAATTAGTCAAGTTTTCTATCTAAGGAATCCAGCAGACAAGTTTAATCTTGGCTTTGTTGCAGTCTCCCATCCTGAGCAAGCACAGTGGCAACAATGGAAAGGAAAAACTCCCTTTTAAAAGGTGCAGCTACCCATCCAGACTGTCACATTGTGACAGTCTGGATGGGTAGCTGCACAATCATACGTGAGCAGAGTAAACAGGAGGGGGTTCGGCACACAGCCCTGAGGGAAGCCAGAGCTGAGGGTTATGGTGGAGAAGGAGAAGTCATGGATCTTCACAGACTGTGGTCTCTTGGTTAAGAAGTCTAGGACCCAGTTGCATAGAGAGGAACTTAGTCCTAGTGTGATTAGTTTGCCCATCAGGGTTTGGGGGATCATGGTGATGAAGGCAGACGTGAAGTCCACAAAGAGCATACGGACATAGGAGTTCTTCTGCTCCAAGTGGGTGAGAGCAGTGTGGACCACAGAGGAGATGGCATCTTTTGTTGATCGATTCTCACGGTATGTGTACTGGTGAGGATCCACGTTGATGCTGATATTAGCTTTGATGTGGGTCATGACCAGTTTTTTTGAAGCATTTAGTGACTATCAGGGTGAGGGCCACCAGCCAATAGTCATTCAGACTAGTCATTGTAGAGCTCTTTGGAACTGGGATGATGGTGGCAGTCTTGAGGCAGTTGGGAACTGTTGCCTGTGTGAGGGAAGAGTTAAATATGTTGGCCAGCACCTCACAGAGTTGATTGGCACAGTCTTTCAGCACCTTCCCTGGGATGTTGTCAGGGTCAGTTGCCTTGAGAGGATTGATCCTCCTGAAAATACTCCTTACTTCTGCTGAGGTCATGCTGAGAAACTCTTCTTCTTGTGATAAGGTGAGTCTGGTGCTGGGTCGTCTGTTTGGGTCCTCAAAGCATGCATAGTATCTGTTGAGAGCATCAGGCAGTGATGGTTCCCTAGGACATTGTGCACCTCTGCCTTTATAATCCGTTATGCACTTAATGCCCTTCCACATGTTCGGTGTGTTTTGTGAGGAGAAGTGTTCCTGGATCATCTGTACATATGCTGCTTTGGCCCTTTTAATACTAGCATCCCGCTCTAACCTTGTCTTCCTCCTGTGAATTGCCAGACCTGAAGGCAGTGTCCCTGGCTCTCGGCAGGGTGCATACCTCTGCATTCAGCCAGGGCTTTTGGTTTGGATAGCTTTTTACATTCCTGAAGGTGGAGACATCATCAGTACATTTAGAAATGTAACACAGGACTGAGGATGTGTATTCTTCCAAGTCTAGCTCCCCTCCCTCCTTGACAGCAGATTCCTGGAATACTTGCCAGTCCGGGTGTTGAAAGCAGTCCTTTAAAATAGAGTCACTGTTTCTTACCCACCCCTTTAATCACCCCTGTGTTGGTCTGGAGTGTCTCAGCAGGGGCAGGTAAGCAGGAGCCAGAAGGATTGATATGTGATCAGAGTCTGAGGTGGGGGCAGGGTAAAGCTTTATATGCGTCTTTCACGTTGGTGTAAACACGGTCCAGTGTATTACTTCCTCGTGTTGCTATGATGACATGCTGATAAAAACTTGGCAGTGTCTCCTTTAGATTTACGTGGTTAAAATCACCAGCTACCACATAAAAAGCCTCCGGGTGTTTGTTCTAAAGTGAGCTGATGTTATTATTTATCTCCTTCAGGGCGTCTTTAGCATTAGCATCCGGAGCTATTAAAAACACAGCCATAAACTCGCGGGGTAAATAACGTGGCCAGCACTTAACTGTTAGTTGCTCTAAAGCATATGTGTCAAACTCAAGGCCTGGGGGCCAAAATGGCTCTCATTGACATTGACATCTTATCTGGCCCTCAAGATGATATGTGAAATGTAAAATACTTCTATCATAATTTTTTTCAGTAATCTTTGATTATGATGTCAAAAAGCACAACAAAGAACATCAAATGAGACCAATAAAA